TTCAGACAGTAAGTGCACGTGGCATATGTATATAAAATCCTGGGGTGTAGTTTTATTCCTTCTTTCTGGACAGCATGTTAGCATGGTTGGATGGCATATACTGCGTTTGTCACAGAGGGTCTAGTATGGACCGGATTTGTCCTGTAGTACTTGCAGGCAGATTAAAGGGCCCCAGTGAAACACACACACTTCAACCTGCAATTCAGCTCAGTAACTGCTGTGGCTTTATTGCCATCTCTGTTGTGTTGACATAAAGGTACGGGTGATATACAATGATTGCCATCTCTGTTGTGTTGATGTAAAGCTATGGGTGATACACAATGAATCTAAGATTTTTTGTTGTTGTTGTTTTGGAAGGAATAGCATCCTTTTACTTGTCCTAATACTTAACTAAAAGCAGATCATAGGTCAGTGGGCACTGGTGCTTGTTTGTGCTTTGATGTCAGACAGGGCTTCGTAGATATTCCAGAACTTGTTTGATACCTTTTGCTAAATCTGTGTATTTGATCTGGAGTTTCTCAGAGGCGGCCAGCTTAAATTAAAATACATCAGTGCGACTGATGCTTTTGTGTTTTCTGAGGTGGACTGTGCTAGCAGGGTAGTTTATCTGCAAACAGAGAAGGATTGTCTTTGAAGGGACTGAAAATTGTTTGGGTTGTTCTGGATTTTAAAAATATCTGTCTGTAAACACCATTTCTATGGTAAAGGACTAAGAAGGACTGTCATTGAAGTTCTTTCCTCAGAAAACTGAGTGTAAAACAGTAACAGTATAGCCGTTGAAAACTGGGATTTTGTTAAGCTTTCTTAAACAGAACTTTGTGTTTATTCTTTTACAACTTCCAGTATTGTGCAGTCACTTTATGGGTTATATCATGGAATCATTTCTTCAAGCCTTCCCTGCTTTATAGATCCCTGATTACTGTCATTGCTGTTTGTCTGGACTCTTTCCAGCTGATTTATTCTCGATGCGCAGTGCTCAAAACTTGTAAATACAACATCTCTCGGACTATGAGTGCTTTCTTGACACAGACATGGACTCCACTGAAGTCAGAGCTGCCTAACTGTAAGGCAGATCTCTAAAATGTGAGAGTTTAACTCTCAAGAGTTAACTCTCAAGATTCAGCATATCGGTGGCTCTTCCTCAGGGCCTTGGCTTTGGCGGCCTCATCTGCTTTCATAACGATGATGCCAGTTCAAGGATAAGCGTCAGCATCCGGAAACAGGGCCAGAATTTGTAGCCTCAAAAGGAGGCTAATCGCATGCTTCCAAGGGTTTTAAAAACACTACTCATTATGTCAGAGACAATGTCAGCTTTTCATACCATTCTGGTACCTGTTCTGCTGCTCTCTAAGACTTCCTCTATGTAGATACTAGGATGCCTAAATTTCATCTAGAAACTTAGATATGATTTCTGGAAATTAGAGTGATGAGGTGGGGCTAACAATCCTTCAGTTCTTGTACATGCTAGCAAGATGGCACAGGTGCTTACGATGGTGTGGCAGCTCTGCTTTGCCTTGTGTAACAGGGAGAAAGAGATATTTCAGCCCTGTTATGGAGACAAGCAGAGTCAATGCAGGACAGCCTCCTTTTTTTTTCTAAAATGCAGTTTCATTACACCCAACATGGAAAGAAAATATTCCCCAGGAACAGAAGAGTTCCTGGGGAACTGAAGCAGTTGCCTCCCAGGAGTTCTCTTCCCTCCCTTCCCATAGCCCCCATAATTGGAAGAGAGGACCCCTGGTTGGCAGGGCTGGGTGGATTGTCTTCAGATGTTCAGAGAACTGTTCAAAGCCCTCAGTCAGCATTCCTGGTCTTGAAACAAATCTACTGAAGGGATCAAAGAGGTACAGCTCGTGTTGGTCAAACATTTAAGGTGTTAATATTTTCAGTATTTTTTCCCAGCTGTATTGGCTGAACTGATTTTAAACAAAATATTATTTCTGCCTCTAAACCCTTTTTCAACCATAATACGTGCAAATATGCTCTGTTTTGAGAATATCAGAGGTGTTGGGAGCAATGTCTCTCCTTGGTCATATATAGCTGTGGTCATATATAGTCACACCTTGGCGTGTCTATGTTAGCATTTTACTTACATCAGAAGTAGACTTTTGTGTTGAATTTTCCAATTGTTCCCATTTACTGCACTTGGTTTGCATTGGGAGTGGTCTTGGAGTCCACAAATTGGTTTCCTTGCAGATGAAACAAAGCAGGGAAACATGCTCCAGGAACGCACTTCCAGACTTCCAGCTGTTGACGGGCATTCAGTTCACCCAAGCAGGTTAGAGCAAGTCTGAAGGAAAACTCCCAAGTCATGGGTGGTGTTGATGTGAAGCTGTCAGCACAACACTTTTATGCTGCTGATGCACAGCCTCCTGCAGAGCAGCATTTGCTGTTATGTCCATCGCTTACCAAACCATAGTTTATGAAATTTAGTGAAGAATTGCCCTGTGTTCTTCAACACCGTTGAAGAGCGATTTCCTTAAGGGAATGATTAAAATGCCTGGTGCCATATGGGAGAAACTCATGCATTCCAGGTCTGTAGTTTAATCTTTTCTGTTTACATGTGTGCTTTATGACTGCCTGTTGAAATAGCTTTTTTTTTTTTAATTAGGAAGAGATTTTTTTTAAAAATGAAATTCTTAAAAAATGTTTTATCCTAGGCATCAGTATAAAATCTGGGGACACTTGATTCAAGGTCCCAATTAAACTCAACTTTGCAAGTGCTGTCAGCAGAAGTGATTGCTGAGGTCACCAGGGTATCATGCATGTATGAATAAATTAATTTGAAACTCTTTGAAGGGCTTTTGATGGGATGTAGATACTCCAGTATACTGGTACAGTGTGTTCATTTTACTATGCCATCATTTTTCAAATTGCTGTGACTTAGCAGGAGGAGGGAATTCTGTGAAAGTCACCTGAGAACATAAATTCTTACCACACAGCATCTAGTTTCTTTAAAAGATTGTAAGTACAGAGCTGCACAGGATCACATTGGCTGAGCTGCCAAATCTGTTCTGACTGAAATAAACAGCAATGATCCTCTTGGTTGCCAAGGGAGCAAAAATGTTGCAGTGGCACTGTCGTATCCTTTTGCAGTTAAGCCTACTAACCTTCAACATCAGCTCAAAGTGACCAGTGAAGTTTGAAAAAAAAAAAAAAAACAAAAACCAAACCCCAGATACCTGTTACGGGCAAGTTGTGACTCTCTCAATGGCTAATCTTTCTGGTAGTCTTTATGTAAATGCCGTGAATCTGTTACCATGTTGCGTCATAGCAGGATTATTTTATGAAGAAACTCTGACTCCATTTCCTGGAGATAAGAGCAGGTTATCACTGCAAGAGATGGTTAACCCCATTTGGATACACAAGCAGTTTAAGGTATTGACATTAGTGGGTGATGTGAATTGAGTCTGTGATTTTGTCTTCTCAAGAGCAGAAGCAAGTAAACCAAGTTTAACGTACTTCTACTTTGCCTAGAATAGAATAGATTTTTTTTTTTTTTTAATACTAAGATATTCTGATAAACAGATGCAATCAGCTGATATGTATTATTCTTCATATAGCTGTTTTCCTTCATCATTTCATTCCTTTTGAGATAGGTCTGTCGCACTGGCTCATTCATTGCCTTATATTTCATTTCTGTGAAACATACATCATTACAATTGTATTCAAGTGTAAGTGGGACTATTTTTAAGACTGAATGCGTTTAACTATAGATCAATAGACTGTAAAATATTAATGGGAACCACTCATTCACAGACTTAACCTTCCTGAAAGAAGCTGGCAGTACAGTTGCTATGGATTACTTATGACCATAACTCCAAAAAATGTGCTAAATTTTTTAGCAACAGAATAAAGTTCCCGTTCTCAAGCTTTTTTTTATACTTGAGTCATCAAGACAATAACACAGTAAAGCTTTTTGATTTGAGATCAGTATTAAAGTTACAAACAATTTTCATCATGTGTAAATCCTAGTTGACTTCAGAGGAGAGACAGAGATAAAATATTTGCCAATATTACCACTCTTACAAGATGCTTTGTAGAAATCATGACTGGACCTTCATTTTGTCACTTCTCATTAGAAAAAGAATTAATATTTTAATTTAAAAAAAAAATGTTAATATCTTTATCATGAACTGCTCCCACTTCTTATTGTCATGCACTGTAAGCCTTATCTCTGGGGTTGAGCAAAGAGCAAAGGTAGTCTCATTTTGGAGTGAAACCCAGAGATAAAACAGCAAGAAGGCTTCTGAAAGGCTTCACTTGATTGTAATCTAATTAGAGGGATATTTAACTGTTACTACTCACAAGCATGACTGCTGCATTGGAAATTGTTGGTTTTCTTTTGTGCTTGGGTGGGTGGGCAATTATTGGAGCTACTTTGCCGAATAATTACTGGAAAGTCTCCTCTATACATGGTAGTGTGATCACAACGTCTACATTGTTTGAAAACCTGTGGAAGAGCTGTGCAGAAGACAGCACTGGAGTATCCAACTGCAGAGAATTTGACACTATGCTTGCACTGCCTGGTATGTGACTTTGCGCAGTTTTGTTTATATTGCTTAAAAATTTGTTGGGAAAAAACTGGAAAGGCTTTTGTTTTGGTAATCTGGTAGTACTGGGAAAATAACTGGCTAAGGAGGACTTTGTGGGTTGAAGTAATAAAAATCTTTAAGCAGCAGGATGTGTCAGGCACATGTGGAAAGGCTATAAAGTAAGGCAAATGAAGTCGCTTGATCAAGCATTTATTTTAATAGGCATTTTAATTATGGTGTAAACGCTTTTCTGTCATCTTGTGGGAGGAATTAGTAGGAGACATTTTTAAATACATCTTATGATCTTTATTTGGAATTATTGTATAGGCCTTCTTTTGCAATATTTGATACCTAATGTACTGTAGCTGGAGTTTTTTTATATAATAGGTAAGAAATACTATTTATAGCTAAGAAGCAGTAGTGGGTTTTGCGTGTTGAGACTGAAAATCGTAGATAATGCAAGAAATATGAGTATATGTTATGCACATTATAACGTATTATAAGTTATACAATGAGTATATTTTATAAATTAATATATTTGTCAGGACTTGTTAAGTACTGTCTTGTTGGATGTGGTTCTAAATATCAGGAAAATTAGATCTGCTGGCTCCTGTACTCAGTCTTCAGCAGAATTGTGGTTTGTCTTCAAATGCTCAACGAAGACAGTATTCTGTGGCTAGTAAGCATGTTTATAGACCGTAAAGCTAGTTTTTGTTAATCTTGAATAATTTGGTATATAGATACTTATCCCAGAATAAGTTGAATCCTACTTGGTTGAGCCTACACTGCGAGGTGGATAAACTTAAATAGGTAGGAGGATACTCCCAAACCGAAGAATGTGTAATATTGCATTAGTGGGAATGAGGTATTAAATCACTTTCTGTCTCAGTCTGAATAAACTGATGTTGTTGACCTGCTCTGACTCCAGCGCAGCAATTCTCTGAAACTGTCTGTGTCCAGTATTTAGGGAATAATCCGTGCTTTTCATCTTTCAGTGTTATCTAACAAGTGGTTTTAAAATGCATGTGTGTATTGAGAAACATAGCCCTGTTTAAAATTCTTAGACTCAGCAATAGCAGGATCATATCCACTGGACATTATCCTCTGCAGAGTGCTTGTGCAAGTGTGCATTTGGTTCATGTATAAACCACTTCAAGGGTTAGTTCAAAACTTAGAATAGTTTGGGTTGGAAGAGACCTTTAAAGGTCATCTAGTCCAATCCCCCTGCAATGAGCAGAGACATCTTCAACTAGATTGGGCTGCGTAGAGCCCCATCCAACCCGACCTTGAATGTTACCAGGGATGGGCCATCTACCACCTCTCTGGGCAACCTGTGCCAGTGTTTCACCACTCTCACTGTAAAAAAATATCTTCCTTATATCTAGTCTAAATCTCCCCTCTTTTAGTTTAAAGCCATTACTCCTTGTCCTATCGCAACAGGCCCTACTAAAAAGTTTGTCTGTGTCTTTCCTGTAGGGCCCCCTTCAAGTACTGAAAGGCTGCAGTAAGGTCTCCCTAGAACCTTCTCTTCTCCAGGCCGAACAACCTCAACTCTCTCAGCCTGTCCTTATAGGAGAGGTGCTCCAGCCCTTTGATCATTTTTGCGGCCCTCTTCTCGACGTGCTCCAACAGGTCCATGTCTTTCCTGTGCTGAGGGCTCCAGAGCTGGACGTGGTACTCCAGGTGGGGTCTCAACAGAGTGGAGTAAAGGGACAGAATCGTCTCCCTTGACCTACTGGCCACACTTCTTTTGATGCAGCCCAGGATATGGTTGGCTTTCTGAGCTGCGAGCGCACATTGTTTGCTCATGTCTAGCTTTTCATCCACTAGTACCCTGATGTCCTTCTTGGCAGTGCTGCTCTCAATCCCTTTATCCCCCAGCCTGTATTGATGCTGGGGGTTGCCCTGATCCAGGCACCGGACCCTGCACTTCGCCTTGTTTAACCTCATGAGGTTCACAGGGGCCCAATTCTCGACCTTGTCCAGGTCCCTCTGGATGGCATCCCATCCCTCAGGCACATCAATGACACCACTCAGCGTGGTGTCATTTGCAAACTTGCTGAGGGTGCACTTGATCCCACTGTCTGTGTCATTGATGAAAATATTGAACAGTACTGGTCCCAGTATGGACTCCTGAGGGATACCACTTGTCACTGATCTCCATCTGGACATTGAGCTGTTAATCACTATCCTCGGATGCGACCATCCAACCAATTCCTAATCCACCACACAGTCCACCCATCAAATCCATCTATCTGCAATTTAGAGAGAAGGATGTTGTGGGGGACTGTGTCAAAGGCCTTACAGAAGTCCAGATAGGTGACATCTATAGCTCTTCCTTTGTCCACTGATGTAGTCACTCCATCACAGAAGGCCACCAGGCTGGTCAGGCAGGACTTGTACTTGGTGAAGCCATGCTGGCTGTCTGGAGTCATATCCCTGCCAACTTACTGCCAACAGACCAACTGACTGCCTCTGACTCTAGACAGCACCTTGTAATTGATGTATTTACGGGGGTGTTGCCTCTGAGAGTGTCATAGAGCTCCCATGTGGGCAATGGGGCCACATCAGGTCAGCATCTTGGAGCTGATGAGAAAAAAGGGGGTTTTAAAGAAACTGGGGTGGGACATGGAGGGGCAGAGAAGAGTATCGTGAGTAGATGTGCTTAAGCAAAAGAGAAAGGAAAAGGAAAAGCAGCTTGCAGAATTGTAGAGAAAAAACAGTTTCAGAAAGGTGAACTGAGAAAGAAACAAGTTAGAAGACACTGAATTATAGAAAGAGCTGAGAGGGCAGGTGGGCAAACCAGGAAAGAGGAAGAAAGCAGGGTTGGTAGCAACGAGAGCTGAACAAACAGTGGGACCCCCAAGAAACGTCTGTAGCACATGCAGGTATGAGCCAAGACAGACTCAAAATTATCTTGGTCGGTTTAGGTGTGTTTTAAATTGCTGTTCAGAAACTGCTGCTGCAGCAGAAGATGCCAGAGATTGGTGGGAGGGGGGAAAAAAAAGAAAAAACAAAAGTGTCTTTGTTACCTCTCATCAGAAGGACCATAAAGATTTTCCATTAAGGTTTCCTTATTGGCAGCTGAACTATGTGGTATACCTTTTGTTTTGTGCATGGGAAATACAGCCGTTTGCTTCCAAGCAGTTAGCCTGAGGATGTGCTTGTGTGTTGTAGAAAGGTATGGGGAGTCCCATCTAATACTGCAGGAGTCCCAAAGACCTGAAATGTATGTTGTTGGATCCCTGCCGTGGATAATCCCTGCTGCCGTGGTGTAAGATCCCAAACTAGAAAACAGCGTCAGAGTTGAGTGCTTGTCCAAACAGTATCCTCTGCAGGCAAAAACTTTGAACTGTTAGTGGTACTTCGAGGGGTCCTTTCACTTTTATTACTGTCTGTATTTTTTCCCTGAAAAATTTAAAAATAATGCTTAATGAAACATTAATTCCTTAAATAACGTTATCGTTTAACTCTGTGTATTTATCTCATGACTGTTCATTACTGTCTTTGATAATTCTCAAGCTTGCGGGACCAATACTCTTAAGCCACATCAAGCTGTACAGCCCGCTGAGTCAGTCTGAATCTGTTACTTCGCCTCCTGGTTCTGTGCCTGATTTTTGTTGTCTGGAGAGTTACCGACTCATTCCACTACAGAGCTCGAGAGGGGGTTACCGTGGAGGACACGGAGGTCGTCAAGGAGCAAGAGCTTGAATGCTAGCGTCAATGATGCGACTGTCCAGATGCAGTCCAGTTCAGACCCTTTTGATGTGTGCTTAGACTCGTAGAATCATTTAGATTGGAAAAAACCTCTAAGATCATCAGGTCCAACAAATCTAGCAGCCAAGCCCTGCCAGATTGGTGGCACTTGGTGTGTTTATCACGTAACAAAGGTGCCAAAGTGCCATTTGACCTGGAATCTGCCAAATCCAGGGTCCTATTTTAAAGGAGCTCAAGTCCCCGTCTGACCTTCCTTCTTAGGCTGGTTAATAATCTGATCCCAGTTTTTGTGCAATCAATACCTAAATATGAAGACTGGGAGCTTAAGTGACGCAGAATCGCCAAAACAGGAATTTCCCTAATGTGCCCACACCAGCTGTAACCTCTCCACAGGAATATGTCTTAGGGAGGAGAGGAGTGCTGCAGCTCTCAGATCTGCTCATTTCCCCTTTGTTATCCCGACTCAGAGTTTAAAGTGCAATGCTAACTTGAGCACTTTCTTTCCCATCTCACTGGAAGTAGCAAAGCTGGCATATTTTTCCAATTCCTCAGTAGTGCCAGAGCCCCACATACCTTGGCCAGGCCCTGGAGTTCAGAGCTGTCCCCTGCACACCACTGTACAGGTGTAAGGAAGTCACCAGGACTTGCACGTAAGAGACTTATTTCTGTTCCTGCAAATGACCATATTTACAGCTATGCATTTTCACAGGACTTAAAAATCTAAGCTATGAAGGGCTTGCTATGTTTTTTCAGGATTTACTAAAGGCCCAAGAGGATTTACTGAGCTTATAAAGTGTAAGTGTAGTTCAACTCTGAAATCTGATTGACTTGAAGGCTAAGCACTCTCGGGTTTGGATGCTTCTCTGAACAGAGTAACGCAGTTGGACAAGATTCCCTTGTTACTGCCTCTGTTAATTTTGTCACTCCGTCTAAACACTTTTATTTTTTCAACACAAGATTAATTTAATTTCTGTATAGTTCCTTATTTGTTTCCTCTTTTTTTGTCTTAGCTCATATTCAGGCATGCCGTGCCTTGATGATTACTTCCATTCTTTTGGGATTCATAGCTACAGTAATCTCGCTGCTTGGTTTGAAGTGCACAAAGGTTGGGTTGAGCGATGAAGATGGAAAAATGAAGTTTGCTGTCACGGGAGGATTTCTTTTTATTTTGGGAGGTAATGTTGAGGCTGAAATGAGAATGCTATCAATACTTTGTGTTGCTTTCACAGCTAGACTAAATGAAATGAACACTTGTTCTTGGTTTAAAGGTGCTACAGCCATTAAAGGAATCATTCACCTGTGTGCATTTTAAACTTTTTCTGGCAGGTCTGTGCTCCATGGTGGCTGTTTCTTGGTATGCTGCGATGATTACTGCTCAATTTTTTGACCCATTGTACGCTGGAACCAAGTAAGTTACTAGATCTGTCATACCAACTTCCATCATGTGTTACAGATAGCTGCACTAGTATCATAGAATCATACAATGGTTTAGGTTGGAAAGGGCCTTGAAGTTCATCAAGTTCCAACTGTTATCTGGTCCTACAGGAGGAAAAAATTGTCTTCAGGGAATCTTTTCGTGTCAGAGATGTTGTTGGGGAGGGAGGAGAGTTCTCTACCGGAAGGTTTGGTGAATGGGGAATATCAACCCCACATCTGAGGCGTTTCTGTACTGTGTTTACATTTTCTTGTGAGACTCATTTAAGTGCGTATCTCAATATTATGAAGAAGAAAAGGTAAAAGTCTTAATTTTCTTTGGTATTTAGACCAAAAGAGGTACAAAATTCTAGCTATGGCTAGAATACAATGCCTCAGATGTACAAGCAAATGAAAAAACATAGAGAGGTGGGCTTGAACTACGTACTAGTGACCTGCAGATAACTAAGAAACGTCATTGAAGTGTGCTGCTAGTCTTAGAGAAGTAAAAGAATATTTTTCACTGTATATTAACAGCTCAACATTTGTTTGCTTTATGAATTAAAATAAGGCAAAGTTTGTGGGACTATCAGCTCATACAGTTGCGCACAAACAAGTTTTGAGGTATAAAAGCCCTTATTCTTGTCTGATATAAAAGCAACAGTCTTCAAAACCGAATGCCTGCTTATGGCACCTTATCTAGATCGATAGATTTAGCAATGAGGAACAAGGGTGGAGGTGACTGGGCCTCTCCTTCAGAGAGGGGGGGAAAAAGGAAGAGGGAAACATAACATGTTACCTGTGGAAAATGAGAACACTGGTTTGGGGAAAAGGGGACGTTTGCCAGTACTGCTACTGAGTATATAATTTTTAGATCAGTAAACTATAATCTTTAGTTACTAGGATCATATTTGAAGTGTTTTGTTAGTTTCCTCCTGAGGATCAGTTCAGGGAAGTCAGAGGTGAAGCACTTTGTTATGAATCAAAGTACTTTAAGCAACAGCTTTGGATGTTTGTCAGTTTTCCTTGTATTTTTCAAACACGTGCTTACAAAGCAATTGCATTTGTGAATACTTTTTGTTGTTTTATATCCCCTTGAGAGAATTATATGAAGGGTAATAAATACGTTAGAGGACCGAAACAACTGTTGATAAGGAATTTCAGTTAGTGGGATAGTTAGCGAGTTTTATAGTTATCTGGTATAGCTTTGGGGCTTCAACATCAGTGCCTGTTAATCAGTTACCAGATGGTTTGGATTCAGTGGCTAAAGAAATCTTTTTTTAAAATATCTGAACTTCATGTTTAAGACTATCAATTCACTGAGCAGTTCTTAGTGAATTAACTTTGATCATTGGTAAAGCCAGACATGCTCTTGAGGAAGTTTGTGCTCCTTGGACTCTGTGAGATAGGTTTAAATTCAATTGCAGGCCAGTATTGATCTTCACTCTTAAGAGACTGGCAAATCTGTTTTTTTCAGACTGTGGGTTTTTTTTCTGGCCTGACATCAGCAAAATAGTAAAGTTAACTACTATTAATTCTTAGGGGAATTTCTAATACAGCCGTGAAGGCAACCTAAGTTCTCCTGCAGATCCCTCCTGTATACTTTCCTTTGATACGATGATGTCTACAGCATTCCTGTCTGTAGGTGACTAGTGAGCAGGGACAATTGCACGCAGTGGGCAACATTCTGGTTGTTCCTTCGTATTCCTCCAGCAACTTGCACTCCTGGATTTTTTTTTTGAGATGATGGTTGTTTGCTTGTTCCGTGTTTGGAAAGTGCCTAAAACAGTGGAGACTTTGCAGCTCCCATGTGCGATGAGAACACAGAGGGCAGTGAACCTGGTAAAGCTCTGAAACCCTCCTGTTAGCAGTTAATTCTGGAGTCAGAAACTTGGACATTTTTAAATAATGATTTTGTGTTTACAAGTGGAAAGAAAACACACATATCTGGTTTCAGTATACCTTCTATGCAGTCCGCGACACTTATTTTGCCTGTATATTAGGTATCTCAGACCACAGAGGTACAGGCGTATTGTGGATACAGTCTTTGTCTGAATATAAAAACTTGTTTTCCTCTTTTTGTGAAACTTCTGCCATGATTTCCCAGGCTCAATTGTGTCTAGTCTTTGGGTCAAATTCATTATCAGTGAATTTCTTGTACTGGACTAGAGGATTTCCTGACAGGTGTCGTTTTGTACAGTGAAATGGGGAACTATTCTTTTTCAACCTGGAACTATTCATAAATGTTATTTCAGCCATAGGACCACAGACAGTGCTGAATATTCTTTAGGATACATAAGTTTGAAAATGAGCCCTATACAAGTAGCTCCTTGTAGCTGACCTAGCATCACGTCTGTAGAAAGCTGATTTCTATGGTTAGACTTTTCTCATGAGACAGTGAGTAAGGTCTGATCATTCAGTTTCACAAAATGACTTAAGTGGCACAGCTAATACAAGGGCGAAATAAGTGTTGTGGACTGCACGGAAGGTATATTATTATCATTTATTATCAACAGTTTATTAAATATATGCAAGTATTTATTGCTGCTTATCTTCATGTTGCTTAGGACTTTCTGTACTGTCACTAATTTGGCAGAACACTGAAATACACATGTAAGGGTTTTACTGAAGAGACACAAAGCCAGATCCGTTCTCTGTTATCAGTTAGCTGATTTCTACGCAGTCTAGAATTTGTTTGTATGATTTGTGCAGCTTATGGCTCAGTCTAAAATAATGGCTTTGTGATCCTGTTATATGCTGTTTCCATAAAATCTTTCACGTTGCAGGTATGAACTGGGAGATGCTCTGTACTTAGGCTGGGCTGGATCTGTTCTTTGTATGCTTGGTGGGATCTTACTGACCTGTTCGTGCAAAGGGAAGAAAAAACAGGATTACAGGTAATCTTGGATTTGTCAGTTGAAATAGTAGCTGTCAATTATGTACCATTTTCTATCTGTATACTGTTCTCTCACCCCCTGATATAAATCTGTAGCTACATAAAGTACACACAGGAAATTGTACCAAATACTCCCAGACAGTGTACTTGTTGATACTTTGCCATCAGCAGTCACCTGTAACTAGTATTTGGTAATTTTGGGTACTGTTGACGGTTCCAAGATCTACACAATGAAAATGGGCAGTGAAAAAGCAAATTATCTATTGCCAAAAGAAAATTATATCAAAGAATATAGTGTATTATCATCAAGTTTCTCCGCAATACTCACTACTATTAAAACTTTCAAATGCCATTTAATTTGCAGAAAGTGTAATGGCATTTCCTTCCCAAAGCATACCCAATTGATCATTACATGCATGTGATTTTTTTTTTCTTGTTCCTTATGGAAGTGTCTTGTTGCACATCAAATCAGAAAAGTTGAGATTTCTGGCCTCAGTATTTAACCTTGCCTGGATTTTTTTTTTTCTTTTTTAAATCTTAAATTATTCACACATACAGAAGGTCCCTTTCTGAAGGAGAGGGATTGAAATTGTCAGAAATAGCAGAGGTCCGTGTCTACCCAGAAGAACCCAAATGGTTTGGAGGCTGTCTGTACTGGCTAAGCTTGAGAGAATGATAACATGGAAAGGAGAAGCATGTTCACTGCTACTGTATTTAATCGTAGGAAAGTTATGTCAAAACACATAATAAGTGAGAGTGCTCCTCTGATACTGCATTGCCTAATCTGAAGCCATTTAAGTTTTATGGTTGTATTTCATCAGCCACATTGGACTTTAGGTCTTGTTCACCATACTTTGATACAAAGTACCAAATATCCTGAAATATCTTGAAAATTGGGTAAAACTGATGTATGAAATAGGAGTTCAACATGACGAATGACAGCTGAAGACCTGAAGGGGTTGGCTGAAGATAATTCTGTTTTCCTTTCTCATCATCTTGATTCCTGTATGAAAAACTGCAGCTCACACAAAGGCATTAAAGTCTAGGTTCTCTTCTGCTTTAGGGACCTGACTAAAATGCCTTGAGGAAGAGCACACGTGAGTTAGGAATCCAGTGTGTTTCTGGGTATGAGAGAGGTGGCCGTGCTGCCTGTCAGAGCCCATCTCTTCCCCCGTAGCTACAAGACTGATGAGAACAGTAGGCCTCTAATTTCTGCACCTTTGTGAAGTACGTGCTATCGGTGGGTTGGACACAAACCTAAATGAGTAACTTCCCAAGTGTCTGAAACTGTGGAAGCGTGTGTAATACCTATTATTTTCTATCTTTTTTCTTTTTCTTAATTTACAGTTGCAACAAATACGCATATTCAGCAGGTCAGGCAGCTCAGCAGCAGCGCATTTACACCAAAAACTCCGAGACAGTCATAAGCAACAAGGAGTATGTCTAAACTTATCTTTTACATCACTTGTAACGTTAGTAGGTTATGAACTCAAATAAAGAAGTGAACTACTTCCAGGGTTCCGGTTCCAAGTTGCAGTTTTTCATCTTAATTTGGAACAGTACAAGGAGGAGGTACAGTTTTCAACGTAAATAGGAATGGTTTTCTGGGAATGTTTCTCAAATGTAAATAGGTTTCTACAGAAAATGCTGTGATGTGAAATCTTGTGGCATGAAGGTTTTCTGCATGCTGAGAAGCCTGGTAAAATTTAACCACAGAGTGCGGTGTATCCTGACAATCAAGAGCAACTGTTTCTATTTCAGCTGACTCAAAAATGCGGAACTGATACGCTGTAGCTGACTGCAAGATAATAGGCCTCACAGTTAGAAATGTGTTGTGTTTTCATTAATGTTTAGCTTCCTACTTTTGTTTAGCTGCTTTAGCTTTTTACGGGAAATAAACTTTATTCCACAGACTGACTGAAACAGATTTTTTTGATGAGTGGTAGCCTGGCCATTAATAAGGATATAGTCTGGGAGCTTCAAGTCTCCTGTTATACTGAAATTCATATTGCGTATGATAGTCAAGATTTATAAAAGCTACAAAAAACTCCCTAACAACCACTCACCTCTAAATCTGCAGATGTGCAACAAATTTCTTGTTGGTTGTAATGCAAGTACCAAAGGTAAATGATACAGAATGAAACAAACAAAGCTGGGAGTGGAGAAAGCATGTGGTGTGAAAATGCCTTGTGATAACTAAGAAGATGATAGCCCCAATTTTTTATTTTTGTTTCTATGTTTTCAGGTTTTAAAAAAATCCTGTTTTAACTTTGAGCAATCTTTAGCTTTGGGAACTTCTACTGCATTTGAACTAATTCATGTAATTCCCCAGTGGCTTTATTCTCTGTTGTTGTTACATCATTAGAATTTCTGCCTTAAAACTACTCCGCTGCTGGAGTAGTTTTGGTGCCTTGTGTAAGCACTTAGATGACGATGAGCTAACTTTACTTCGTATTGACGCTTTGGGCAACGTGGAATGGAAATTCACGCTGCAGGTTCACAGGTTTCATAACTTGTCCCCTTTAAATTACAAATGTATTAACACAGTTTGACAAAATACCTTGGTGTTTCTCTCTGCTTTTAATGTCTTACGATAAGTATAATTGTGGTCTGATTTAGAAGTTTTGTGCAGCTTCCTTGATATCCCAGTAGATAATTTCACAGGGCAACCTGCAAGCAGTCTTAGCAGACATGATTTAGCCATGTTGCTTGCATGCAGGTACAGCTGACTCGTAAACTGACGCAGTAAGACATGAATTGGGCGCTGATAGATCTTGTGGGCTTAGTAAGTAAAGCTAAAAGGAGTAGGGATTACTTTTAGACTGCCACTGTCATCTTCTTCCCTCCACTATCAACTATTGTTTTAAAAATCATTCTTTTGGTATTCTGGAGAATAATTTCCAAAGCTGAAAAGGCACTTAACTTGCATGGTGGGAGCTGAACTCCTTACCATCGTCTGTATATTCTGTCCTCTGGACTTTTAGGTAATTGTGTGATGCTATTTGGTCTAGTTGAATGTAAGGAAAATGCAAAACTCGGGCAGAGACTAAGCAGTTCCAGTGTTGGTTTCCCACCAAAGGTTGTGTCATCTCACTACCAGGAGTTATGATCCAAGTAGGTGATACCGACATTCAGAATTTCCTTGGCCTGGCGTCAGGTCTTCTAGTGACATCACTGGGAAGTTTAATTAAAAACCAAGAGTAAAACCCCTATGTAGTAACTGATTCATTTGTTCAATACATTGTTATCGTATTGTGTCATTCAGGGGAAAATAAATGCTGAAGATACTGTGCCTTTCTCTGGCTTGTTTACAGTCCTTCCAACCATTTTCTGTTCCTGCTGTTTCTCCCTGCTCATCGGCCCCTTTCCCACGCAGCTCCCACGGTAACGCTCGGAAGGAATTTAATGAACCATCAACGCACTTTGGGGAGTAAGGCTTTTTATGTATAGGTGACTATTTATGTACGAAGTGACTTTTTTTTTTTTTTTTAATTCTGTCGCAAGCCATTTAGCTCTCTTTAAAACATCTTCATACATTGGTATTTTTAAGTCCTTTGCTCGGCAGATCAGACTGCTTCGCTATCTGCAAATCTTCTTCGTATCTCTGTAGCTGAGACCAAAATCCTGCATTGGGTTCTGCTACTGGTCTGGCAGTCTTCACAGCCTAGGGAAGAGGAGAAACGTTTTAGAAGCAAGGGTGGGTATCATGCAAATGCATTTTTTTCCTCTTAGGCTTTTGAGATTTACTTGGGTTTTGATTTGGCCACGGAATAATAAACAGATATTTTGGTGAGCTGACCTCACTCTGTGCTTGCTAAGACCTCTTGGCATGTGGTTCTCTGTTGCAGAATGGATCCATGGGCAAGACGGGAAAAGGAGCTGTTGAATTTGCTGGAAACGTGAATGTCTCTCACAAAGTGCGGTGGCACTGTTCATGTTTAAGATAGCGTGAAACTTGGTCGTGTATCTGCACGCCTCTGGTACTGAGCAAAACGGTTATCTAAATTAGAGACTTTAGTGATATACCTACCAAATGGGTGCAGACTGAAAGACGGTAGAGCATGAGTCATATGTGATGGGCTTCCTAATAAAGCTGAGCTGCTACTGCAGCTGGCCGGTCCCTAGATATTTAGCTGGCCTAAAGGGTGATGTTTCTTTCCCGTGTTGAGCTGTTGCATCGGTGATAAGAGAAAATCCTGCAAAACTGCTCCTGCATATACTCGCCTCCATTTCACTCATTTGCTTTGTGTCTCTGTCTTAAACTTCACTTAGCATGACTAAGCAAACGATAGGGAAATGTTCACAAAACAACCAGCTTTGCATATTTGCTGCCAGTGCTTAAAGGCTATTTGCATTTGTAATTATATTTGTCCCAGAAACCTCACGTTGAAAACTTATTTGTCTGAGCTGGAACTGAAAAAACTGACAGTGGAATTTTCATTCAAATGTTGAATATCTATATAACTGCTGATAAACAGGCGAGAGCACCCAAATAACTCTATGAGAAATCATCATTACTCATAATAAGCATCGCATTTCTTACACAAAAGATGGCTAAATATAAAGCTGGGTGGAAGTACAGTACCTCAAAGGCATCCTTGAGTGGGAGCTTTCTGTGTCTCATCAGATAAGCCGTGCAAATGGCAGCTGATCGGCTGCGGCCGTTTTTACAGTACACTAAGCACTTCCCACCACTCTTCACCGCCTCTTCTATAGCATCACTGCACTGCTCGAAGTACCGGTACAGGTCTTCAGCCGGATCGTCGAACACGGGTATGCGTATGCCCCGGACCTGCTGGAGGCCGGGGAAGGGCTGCTGCCTGGTGACATTAACGCAGAAGGTGACCCCCTCTCTCACCAGCAGGTCCTGGTTGCAGGCTGCCCTGGCGTTGCTGATGAGCAGCGAGGCCGTCACCTTGCAGAGCTGGACCATCGGTGGCCAAGGCGGCAGCCTCACCGGCCCCACCGCCCCGCCACACAGCTCGCCTCCTGCCCGCGGCGGTGGGGCTGCCGTGGGAGGCCGGGGGATCGGGGGGCGGGGTTCTTTCCCCGGCAGCACGTAAGGGCTGTGCTGTGCTATATTTATCCCCTCTGAACAGGCGTAAAGGCTTCAGGCGGGTCCTAGTGCCTGCTGCGTCCTGGGATTTAAACAGCTAAACGCAATTCCAGAGCCCGCGGAGCGTTTGTGAAACAATTGCATGTGCGCAGCCCCCATCCCCGACAGCAGCTTCGTACAAGAAGCAGAAGCTCCCGTCCTCGTGGGAAGGCTTCTGCTGGGGTCAGCACTGACGCAATGACGTGCTGTGGATCCCATCACCTCCAGCTCACCTGGTTGCCCCTCACCTACAACAGAAGCGTCTTTTGAGGACCCAGAGAATGATTTACCAGGCTCGCTAGATAGGGTAGCGCTAATCTCTCTGGACTTCAGTTACACTGCTGGTGTGGTGCCAGGGCAGGGAGCACCTCAGGCGTGAGTGTGTGTGCACGCGTCGGCGTGGTGAAGGCTGGGAGGGGATGGGGCAACGGCCCGGCCAGGGCAGCACCACATCAGCCGGGGCCAGGCCAGGTACCAGCCGCTTCCTGGCAGCTTCAGCACATGGCCCAACTTCTCCAACACGGATCTGTTCTCCAGACGGATGGACACACATTGTCACACCCCCACACACACATAGAGAGGGGACACGGACCGAGACATGCGGACATGGACAGATGGATACACACACGGACAGACACACGCACCCCTGGACAGATGGATGCACACATACGGACATGGACAGAGACACACACACAGATGGACACACACAGACATAGACAGATGCACACATATGTACAGGGATAGGGACACACAGATAGTCAGACACACACAGATGGACATACGGATATGGATGGATGGACACACACACACAGATGGTCAGACACACACAGATGGACACACAGATGTGGATGGATGGACACACACACATCTGGATGGACAGACAGACGTGCACACATGGACAGGGCCGGCTGGTCACACACAGAGACATGCATGGACATGGACAGACACGAATGGATGCACACACAAACACACACACACACACGCACACAGACATGGACGGAGAGGGACACACATGGACAGAGACCCCCACTCCCACCGCACCCCCAGACACAGACACACAGGTCCCGGGCCCCTCTGCTGGGGACATGGACACAGACGGGACACACACACAGAGTCACAGAAAAGACAGGCAGACACACAAACATGGACACACACACACACGGGCACAGACGGACACACACCCACAGATGGACGGATGGACACACAAACACACACGCACACACAGACAGATGGGGACACACACTCACATAGAGAGGTGACGCGGATGGGGACACACATACACATGCAGACATGGCCAGAGACATGCGGACATGGACAGATGGATACACCCCCCCCCCGGGACAGATGGATGCACACATATGGACATGGACAGAGACACAGATGGACAGACACACAGACACGGACATGGACAGAGAGACGCACACATACATACATGGGTGGGGACACACACCCCCCCGGCTGGATGGACAGACTCACACACAGACAGGGACAGCTGGTCACACACACAGACACGCATGGACACGGACACAGATGGACGGATGGACACACACACACGGACAGACACATACGCACACAAACATGAACGGACAGGGACACACATGGACAGAGACCCCCCCCGACACAGATGGACACACACGGATGGAGTCACACACATGCACGGAGACACACACATATGGATGGAGTCTCACACCCCCCCATGGCCTCCCCGCACACTCCCCAGGGTGAAGCCGGGCAGGGGCTGGGGGGCAGCGAGGGGCTGTCCCGGGGCGGGGGGAT